TTCAAAGAAGAAAAATTTAAAAATCAGGATTTAACCGAGTGTCTTATGTGAAAATCAACATTTCCATTGTAATCAAAGATTAAAATTTTAATTTTTTTCATTAGATGTGAACAAATCAATAATTTTTTTGACACCTCATAAAAAATAATCCACCGTTTTGCAAACAAGTTTTATTATTTATTTATAAGAGGGACATGTTTGAGAAAATATCAATATTTTGCGAAATTTACTTTAGATAATACTGACTGGGTATGAATTTTTTCAAATTTTTTCCGTGCAATTTAGTTGAAAAATTTAAAAACCGAAAATATTCAAAAGTACAGCGTAGCCCGGCCGAAGGGTAGAGCTACTTTAAGAGAGCTTGCTACAACCCCGCCTGATACAAAAGAATCTTCTTCGAATTGAAATATCCATCCCCCAATTGAGTCAAATATATGTTATACTCAATTCCAGAGATCAGAATAATCATCAATTTCAAAATAAGTTAAATTTATCTTCTGTTAACCGATAATATCCCTCAACAATTTACAATTACCAAATTCATCATCAATTAAATATTTAAATTCCGAAATAACCTATTAACCAGTAATCGGGTCAGCAGTTTGACCATTACAAGTATCATCGAAAAATCCGTTTATGAAATTTAGAATTATTTACTCAATGGTCAATAGAATATTTAAATCACGAATTATTTTAATATTTTCAAATTTCAAGTAAGATAATAAAACCATAGTAATAGAAACTTTCAAATTCTAACAATATTAGAAAATATTACAAATGTAATGGCTGTCGGTTTATATTTTTACCGTGTTCCTGAAAATTAAATTTTTGTTTCCTCTGTGCACAAGATGCAGCAGTAAATCATTTATCTGAGCCCTAAAAAATCTCAATATCAATAAAATTATTCCATTTCCCTGATGAATGGATATCTCATAAAATATGACAAGAAAAAAAAATCTCAGTCATTCCAGTTTCACGATATCGCATCACGTCTCAACGATGAAAACCCGGGCACGTACTTGGCGGTGTGAGATTTGGGTAGAAAAGAGGATCTACCCATCTCAGGGATAAAGTATTAGTGGAGACCAATAGATGAAGTTGGCAGCGGTTGTGAATGTATGAGGCACATATCCGTGAGGTCTCGGTCATTGAGAGGCGAGTAGTTGTGTCGTTTTTTCCTCTTTTATTGGTTGAGTAAGCACTTCAAAGGGATCGGAGGGGTAAAGAGAGAGGGCCACATGCGGATCAATGGAATGGTAGTAATATCCGATGCGGATGTTTCGCGGATGGGAAAACCCTCAGAGTCGACCGTTACGCTGTTCGAGTTTGTATAAAGGGCATAAAAGCCTTGAAGTAATTGATATACACTTTTTATTCATTTTTCATCCACTTTTTACGTTTTCTTGGGAAATTGAAAATGTAATACCTGTATTGAATCAATTTAGTTCGCCGACTTTTTGCTGGCAGAGGGAGAAATTTTCCGTGAAAAATTTTTAATGTCAAAGATTCGGCAGGGAAGTGGTAATATGAGACGTAGCAATTCCTCATTCGAGTTGAAAAATGGTAAAAATTTTAATCCCACTGCACGGAAATGAATATTCAATAAAAATTACGTATCTTTTCCGTAATTCTGGAGCGAAATGTGGTTGTAGGAACTTATTTACGGAACTGTCACGGAATTTTTCCAGAGCATTCCGTAATTTTCATCTGAATCTGCTGTGAAAAATTACGATACCGTCACTTAAATTTTCTGAGTCGATTCCGTAATCGGTGAGCGAATTGTGAGTTCCGTAATCTTTACTGAACATTTCTCTCCGTGTGGAGATTCAATGGAATTCCAAATTTTTAAGCAGTGGCAAGACCAGATGTCTTCAGCTTACTTGGATTTGCCATCAAAATATGAATATCTAGTACCGAATTACCATAAATTTTTAATGAATTGAACTTTTTTTTTAGTTTCACATATTTTTCCCTCATGCCTGCGCATATCTAAAATAAAATATACTCAATTCAAGTATATTTTTTTGCCGTGATGCAGTAAAATTTGCCCCGATTTTCTAGGTAATTTTTATCCAACTTTTCTCTCCGTAATCATCAGTGATTGCTATCATTGAAATCTGATGGTAGATTCCTAAAAATGAGAGATGGGTCCCAGAAAATCAATAATAATGTCACTAAAAATTGAAAATCACGGAGTTCTAAAAACTGAGGATAGATTTCCAACAATCTGGATCACTGAAAATCAGTTTTCGTATTCTCTCCTACTTCTAAAATATTCATTAAAACTTTTTTTTTTATTAACGCCTCCGGATCCAGGGATGGGTCCATTCGGCTTAAAAAAAATAATTTAATACATCATTTAGTACATCGAGTCTTGTTTTTGCATTTTTTATACTTTGATTTTGCAATTTTTCAAAAACTTGGAAATACTTTGGATATCTTTGTAATTCATGACATTGAGAATTTTTTCTATTTTGTATGGTGTTTCGTTGGTTCTTCTTATCTGTTTGATGAGGGCCTCTTTTGCGTACGTTGGACACCTCCACAGGACATGATTCAAGTCTTCCACTGTGTTTCCACAGTGGCAGGCGGTCGAAATTCATTAAAACTTTCACTTCAAAATCTACTTATCCCCTTTCATTTCCCTCAAATCCCATCTTCTCAAGAATCCAATAAAAATAATAACGACAGTCATTCGTCCACAAAATGAAAAATCACGAATGAACGGAATTTATTTTTTCCTTCACGGCTGGATTTACCTTTCGTACCGTATTCTATATTCTAATGTCCCCGTCTCTGCATTCACTCTCACCGGGTTTTATGACCAAAATGGATCTTAATTTACGGTGCCGAGCGGCGGCGCGTAAAGCCCCCGCAAGGAAGTTTTCTACAGTGGCCCTGAGACTCCCATCCCCCGTCCTCCAAGCGTCGCATATAAATTAACATAAATTAAAATCTCGTAAGGGGGAAAAAATAAGAGTTGGAAGACACTTTTTTCCGCCTCTTGAATTTTTTTTTAATGATGATTTCGTTGACGGGAGAGGAGAAACAGTTTTCCCGGGGAAATGATCGCGGGAGGGGTTGATTTTTACGACGGTCGTAACAACTGGCGGTCGAGCTGGCGTGACCGACGAACTCAATTCCCCCCTCCACTATTAACCGAAAGGACCTCTCGAGATCTTGTCACATCTCGAGACTTCTTTCCCCTCATACAGAACGAGAAAAGAATTCAATTATTTGAGGAGTAAATCGGAAGATCTCATAACCCCTTTGTCACCCACTTAAAACTCTCTTATAATCCGTTATCCCTCTTCCCTTTTGAGTCACTACAATCGTAGAGAGTGGTATGTGACAAGTTCTTTATAAAGTCACGGTTCAACTTCTTCAGCGAATGCAATAAACCGGATGTAATCTGAAAAAGAGCACAAAACTCGAGAGGATCAAGAGAAGAGGGTATTATATAAGGATACAGTGACAGTGTCCACAGTGAATTTATCTCAAAGTCCGAAAATCTCATCCTTTCAGGCCGGTCTCCACCTCAAACCGTCCACGTAATACCCATTCACAGAAGCCACTCTTTTTTTCAGTCGCTTTCTCAAACGTGAGTACATGGGAATCATCCGTACCCACGAGCGAGATAACACATGAAAGAGAGATGGATAGGAGCCGTGAACGTATGAGGGATTTTTTTCGGTCACTCACTTGGATAGAAATTCATTTTGTAAATTCTTGTTGAGGATGATGCAGTTTGGAATGATTTGGGGCGCGGCGGGAAGAGCCCAGAGATGTTTGTGATTCCTGATTTTATCCCGTTGGGAGAAAGCGTCTGAAGTTGCGTGGGCAATTGAATGTGCAATTACAGCTAGTAAAATTCACGAGGTTATCTCATTAGAAATTGCACTGAACTACATACAATGGATGTCGAAATGTGTTGATATTTCGACAAGAGTTCACCTCCAAGTTAGTTGAATTTCCAAAATTTTCCTCATTTCTATAGGTTTTCATGAAATAACGGATTTGGAATTGCCCTTTTTCATTGATTTTTCCATAAAATTGTGAATCTTCAATAATCAATAATAAAATTTCTTGGAACTGAATCTTCGGCCTAGGAAATAGAAATAACGAGTTCTAGGACATCGTAAACATGAAGTTTTTTTTCATCCCTAAAACACGAAGTTGTAAGAGACTCTTCGAATTCACTTTCTCAAACGTGAGTACACGGGAATCATCTATACACACGAGCGATATAACACATGGAAGAGGAATGAGTAGGAACCGTGAACGTATGAGGGATTTTTTTCGTTCATTCACTTGGATAGAAATTCACTCTGCAAATTCTTGTTGTGGATGATGCAGTTTGGAATGATTTGGGGCGCGGAGGGAAGAGCCCAGAGATGTTTGTGATTCCTGATTTTATCCCGTTGGGAGAAAGCGTCTGAAATTGCGTGGGCAATTGAATGTGCAATTATAGCTAGTAAAATTCGCAAGGTTATCTCATTAAATCAGATTCCACTGAACTACATACAATGAATGTCGAAATGTATTGATATTTCGACAAGAGTAAACCTGCAAGTTAATTGAATTTTCAAATGAAGCATGAATATTTATGTAAATAATTCAGCGTAATTTAGTGCAAAATTAAGTTGAATTTCCAATTAATTAAAAATTCAACAATATATTTACCTGAATTTTCCTCATTTCTATAGGTTCTCATGAAATAACGGAATTGGAATTCCGTTATTTTTCATTGATTTTTTCATAAAATTGTGAATCTTCAATAATCAATAATAAAATTTAGTGGAACTAAATCTTCGGTCCAGGAAATGGAAACAACGAGTTTAAGGGCATCGTAAATACGAAGTTTTTTGTTTTCATTCGAAAAACACGAAGTCGTAAGAGGCTCTTCGAGTTCACAATTGAAGTCATATTCCTTGTAATGTCGAGCTTATCACTTAATGTGAGGTGCAGTTGACATTGAAGAACCTGTTGAACCACTTGTATAGCTTCCTTAGTCATTCTAAATACAGCGGGTCGGCTCATAAAACGTTTGCCTCGAGTTTCAATCCACATATTCCAGTTAGTTCGTTCCTCCGCTTTTCAATAATTAGCGCGATAAATCAAACTTATCCCTGATTACACGACAGCATTTAACGCTGGTAAAACTGTTGGAATGCAGCACGTCTAAGAATGAACTGACATATTACTTGGCAAGACAGCGACATTTCGACTTGATCCACCATTCGAAGACTAGAAATTTTTATCATCATCATGCGTTCCATGGTCTATTTTGTGATTCAAAGCTTGATGTTAATATCGGTCTATCACGTGCAAAATGTTGGAGGATGTAAAGCAAAAGTCATCGGGGTGGAGGCTCGAATGGGCGGAGCAGTAACTTCACTGGATGGTGGGACACCAAGTGTCACATACTATTTTCCTGTTAGCAGCCCAGGGGTTTGTATTATTTCTCTCGTTAAATCCGTTGTTCCTCTTCCTATTTCTAATCCAAATGCATTATCGCAGTTTTTGCTCAACTATATAGATACCAAGGCCAATCGCTTTCAGCAATCGCGCGGGAAGATATGTGACAAAGATTCCGGTGACGGATCTGCTGTTGCTGTGACAGCTGAAATATTAGCAACTGCGATGGGAATCGAAGACTGCACCAAGTTTAAAGAGGTGAGGGATTTTTGAGTAGAAACTCCAATCGGGCTAAAACAGAAAACTACACTGTTAGAAATTTATTGAAATTGCAGTCACAGATTCATTTGAATTCTCAATGTAGTTATTGTTGGATCAACGGAGTTGAAGTGTTGTTGTTGTCAATATTGTGAGTTTGAATTTAATTGCAAGTGAAAATGTTCATCAAATTTCTCATTCACCTTGAAAATTCAAGAAAATTGGATTTTTCATGTTAGCGCAGCGCCGCTGGGTTAAACCGAGCGCGCTGTTGCCACCTTGGCGCTTACCGCTATGCGCGCATTCCAAGCGTGGCAGTGATTGTAGCAACACTGTCGCTCGAGGGGTCGACAAAGACTCACTCGCGCCGGCCGACGCGGCGCCGATTTTCTGTCACGTTCGACGCTTCTCTTTTTTTAGGTAAACAAATTTCTCGAGAAAAAAATGGACAATGCCAAAGCTTAATAAAAGGATTCAACTAGGAACTCTAATTTTATCAGAATTTTTATGCGTCCAGAAACACGCTAAAGTATAAAAAAAAAGAAAACAGACGGCGCCGCGCTCATTGAGCGAGTGATCGAAGGTTAGGCGATTATTGATATTTCAATGAAAGCTTGAATTTTCAAACTCATTGCAAAAATTAACCATCAAATGCAATTGAATTTGTAATCGATTGAGAAAAGTTTTTGCCTGAATTTTTCCAATATTCATCATTTTTTCGTGCCGTATGGGTCTGGAAATCGAGGATTATTTGAATATTCAAGAAATTAACTGATTCGTCAGTGAAGAAATATACAGAAATTACATGTGACTTTGTCATTGTTAAAAATTCCCGACTTTTTCACTTGAAAGTTCAAGAGTAATTTTCTAACAGTGCAGTCAATAGAAGCTGATGTTGATCAGTTTTGTATCAGAAATCAAACGATTGTGTGGATCCATGCCTGATCAAAAATTCTGAGATCCGGATCGTATCAGCACTTATGGGTGATCTCATTTTGCGAGAAATGAATAATAGAAATAAGTTATTAAAGTCTTTTGAAAACTCGACTCCCTGAAAATTTCCGTATTTAACCTAAAAATAGGGAAATTTTGCCTGGTAGCGAGGCTTTTCAACTATTAACACTATTCGTTAATAGTTCACAAATATCAGCTTCTTCTATGATCATGAATTAACTTTTGGAATTATTATAGAATGTAAACTACTCGGGTTCCGGTGAATTTGAGATCGATTGTGGGGAACTTCATACCACACAAATTATTGTTAATGTCGACGGTCCATGGTCGGCAGCAAAAGTCCGATTTTCAGTGGATATAACCGAAGACGAATGAAAAATTGATTCACTGCGAGCAGTGTCCAAGGACTTAACCTCTTAGCGGGAACATTTCCAGTTTCCTTTATGTATATCCAAAGGTTTTTGTCGAAAATATGGAAAATACATCTTATATTACAAATGATATGCAACTGTTTTCATTCATTATTTAATAATAATTCTAGGGAAATGCGGATATACATGAACTCATGGTTCTGGATACAGGATTTCTATTGCTCTCTACGAACAATCTCCAAAAAATATATGATAAAAAAAGTAGGAAACGAGGTAAAGAGTCCGAGTATTGCGCAGCCGATCGGCGTTTACCCGTTCGCCCTTTCTCGCAGACCTCGTCGCTCTTTTTTTTCCATCGTTATATATAAAACACGTGAAAACGAGGAGCACTGGAAAACGATGGCCACGAAGAGAGAGGCAGTCGTACGTTTTTTCGAGGTAGATACCGTTTTAATTAGAACCGCCGTCCATAAGTCAATCCGGCCCACTCCCCTCGTGTTTTAGCCCTCCAACGTTCTGCAGACAATACTTTTACCCCTATTTTTCCTGATCGGATGTCTGCTGACTTTTTTCCCTCTGTTTTTGGCTTTTTGCATTCATTCCCTCTTCCCCCATTTCATTTTCCTCTTTGTGAAAATTTCCATTGCGACCAGAAGTCAACGCAAATTGCGTTTTATTTTGTACTACGCCTCCTACTCGCTCCGCTCGCCAACCCCCATATGACCCCCATCATCCTCATTCTGACCCTTGTGAGCCTTAATCGGATCATCGTGACCCTCATTATAACCCTCGTGACGCTCAATCAGACCCATGTGACCCTTATTCGGACCCTTATGACCCTTAATCTGACCCTCATGACTCTTAATCTGACCCTCGTGACCCTCATTCTGACCCTCGTGATCCTTATTCTGATCCTCGTGGCCGTTATTCTGAGTCTCGTGATCCTCATGACCCTGATTCTAAACCTTGTGACCCTTATTCTGACCCTCATGACAAAAGTAAATAATTTTTTAAAGATGCAATTCTCCTTGCCAGTTATTTTCAGATGTGCAAAGTTATATTCAATAAATTACGATTATCATCCATCGTTGGCCCACGGTTAGAAAAAAATGAAATTTCATGGACAATTGACTACGAATTTTCAGGACAGTGACACTGAATGCGATTTAGGAAGAAAAAAATCATGAAATTTCAGGTTTCACTGAAAATGTAGTAAAATTTCAGAATTTTAAGTGGTATAACGACGAGCATTCCTTAATTTATTTGGATTTCCACTCTAATATGAATATTCAGTGCCAAATTACATTAAATTTTCAGTGAAATCTGAAATTTCATTATTTTTTCTCCCTAAATCACATTCAGTGTCACTGCCCAGAAAATTCAAGAACATATTTACTGGAATTTTCTGGTTTTCTATTCATTTTCAGGAAAAAATGGGACTGAAATTTACAATTTACAAAATTCTCTTCGATTTTTTGACGAAATTCGGAATTTTCAGTGACGAAATTCCTTGAAATTCCAGTGGTAATTAAATTCGATAAAAATTTCCAAAAAGTGTACCGGAAATTTCAGACAAAAATTTTTAACACTGCATTAAAAATTTGGGCTCATTCCTGTCTCTCCCGTTTCATCTTCTTCTTTGTGGAAATTTCCGTTGCGACCAGAAGACGACGAAAATTGCGTTTTATGCTGTATAATGAAAAAAAAAAGAATGAAAACTCCAGGCGCTCCGAAATGGAAGCTCGTGAATGCAATATTTAAGGGAAAGGGATGAGAGAGAGAGAGAGAGAGAGAGAGAGAGAGAGAGAGAGAGAGAGAGAGAGAGAGAG